CCTGTTGCATATATTGCCAATCTTGCACACCAGTTAATATTGTTACGTCTCTGGTCGTTTGTTGATTTCTCGTATAATTTCTTTCAGATGAAACTTTAGTGACACAAGTCCTTTCTTAAATAAAACTAGTTTATTCTTTCTGAATACAACTTTGCAACACACTTAATTTCCACAGTCACTTTAACTCAAACTCACGCTATAATTCACAACGATTCATGCACTTTACTTCTGGCTTGACTCGATTATCTGTCTCTATCTCCCTGTCTGCTATTCAATTCTTGCCGTCACTTTATTTGCCGGCTTATATACTATAAAAGCGCGAGTCTAGCAAACGCTCGAGCCTTCAGGAACGTTCGAGATACTCATTACGTGTTACCAGATTCACGTGACTTCCGCTGTCGTAACAATATGTTACATCAATCTCGTATTTTCTTTTTGTTGAACATACACATACTTGTACGCTGTACTCCAGGACTTGTATTTGATATACAGATGAATGATGGAATAGTGTAATTTACTTCTGTACGGCAATTTGGTCTCATTGTATTTCAGTGGGCGGCTTTTAAAAGTTAAAACTGCAAGCGTAATACACACAAAAAACATAACACTGTGTCGTATTTACTTAACATAGGGCAGTTGCGCTATATCCTAGGGGAGGGCATAATTATTAATTAATAGGCTTCACACCTGTGCCCGGGGGCAAATGCCCCCCACACTACCCCCCTCTTGCTAAGCCACCGTATCTTATACAGTTGAAAAATAACAGGCAATTATAATTAAACAGCTTTCATTACATTTTTAGATCATTAACTGTGATATAAGCAGGTACATCACACTGTGACACCTGAGGTTTAGAAACTGATTGTCAAAACTTGTACAACTACATTTGTATTTAAGTTACAAGATTCAAATTGGGTCTTTTTCATTCAAAACAAGCACAGCTTTCCTCCTAGGGGATATATAAAAGCTAGTTGTCTTTTGATAATGCCACATTTTTCTGTGTCACTTAGCAAAAACTATGACCTGATATTGTTGTCATATTGTATATAATACTTTGAACATTCACAAAGACTAGCTTTAATTCCACTTTTCTAGATCGTTTTACATTTTAATTTATGTATACACTTAGCTTGATGTACACATTTTGAAGTCTTGGTGAGTTTTAAAAACATCCAAGTTAGAAGTTAGTGACTACAATTTGTATGTTTTTATTAGGTTTTTGCAAAGTTTTTCAGTTTTATTATTACTTTTTTGGATAAAACACCTATTTTTCCTTCTTTTCCCCAATGTATTGCTATTAATCTTAACTAATGATGGTAATTGAAATGAATTTTCAGGTTTGAGCTTTGTATTACAATTCTTATCATAAATCTTAGGTCCACTATTTTTGGGTGCTTTAAACCTAACTTTCAGGTTATACGACGTAATAAGAAATATATGTTTTGGTACGTGTGAAGTGTTGATGGATTTGTGATATAGTAATAATGTGGAGAATACAATAAAAAGTAGAAAAAGTAAATATATACAAGTCATGAACTTTGGCATGATAGACTATTTTTCGGCTGATTAAAATCTAATATATACAAAGTACTAGTTATCATTTTGTGCATGTGCAATGCTCATATTATGAGTCATTTTAAATTTATATTTGCACCATTCTTATTGATCTTTTCAGAGTGTACTTGAAAAATGTTCTTATTTTATCAATGTGAGATTCTTTTTCTTTTATGATGAAGAGAGAAGTTTTGTGAACAAAGTTCACTAAGGAAGGGCAAGGGGCTCCCAGGGTTCTTTTACAAACCTCCAACCCTTCATTTATTGCCAGTTCAGGCAAAGATAGTTATAAAATATGTATCAGGAAATTCACATAAATGAATGTTTTCATTCTGAACTAATGAAATTAATTGAAAATCAAAATATGAGATTTAAAAATTTATTCATTTATAAAAATCATTAAATATAAATTTTTTATTGAATTAATTTCAACTCTTCAATATTTAAAAAACATATGTCGAAGAACAAATGCAAGTTTATTTAGTGTAATTTTGTTTATTCAATTATGTCATTTTTCCTTTATGGAAGGGTGAACCCAACCAGATGCCAGAGAGTAAATGACAATAGATGGTTATGTTAAAAATTAGAGAAAACTGGTATTTAACATAATTACTTATAAACGTTTTAAATATATGTGAGAAATGATTCTCATAAACATCATTCCTACAAATAATCTTTGAAATACAATTTATTACAAAGCACAACACAGACAGTAAATATGAATAAATATGGATAGATATGGATAGAATCTATTCTGGGTACCAATGGATTGAGGGGCTGATGTCGGGGTCAGGACCCTCGAGTAGGGGCAGAACCATAACCCCTGTAGGAACAGATAAAAGTCAAGATGACAATGACAACAGGGATGAATGTAGAAGCCGACAATCGAATCAATGTGCATGCTAACAATGGATCCAGCTCATCATTCATGGACTTGATGGTCCTGAGAGTCTTGCAACAAAGTTTAGTTTTAAGAAAACAGAAAACACATTAGACTTTAGAGTTTAAATGTTAACTATAAAGTCAGCTCTAGAGCCCCTAATTTCTAGGAGCAGATATATTCTTTGAGAATTGGAATATGTTTCCACCTGGTGGTGATAAGCTAAATCATGTAGTTCTTACAACCATACCAGATAAGGCATAGCTGTCCCTTCATATAACTGTGCAGTAGACCTTCCTGCATGAGCCACAATGTCAGTGAATGAAGGGAAAACTAAGTATTTGCTACCATAACTTTCAGCCATCAAGTAAGGTGAAGGCTCAAAAGCAACTGGCAAAAGACCCAGAACACCACATACTTGATGGATCAACAGAAAAAGACAAAAAGAGCCTGAGGCAGCTTATCCAAATGTAGCCTCCAGAAAAGCCAACTGAAAAGAAGGCACAGGAAAAGTGAATCTAAATTCTCTACAGAATGTCCAGGATTGCCCTCAATTGCAGCCTCAGAGCCCCCCCTGAGGGTACACCACTGAACCAAATATATATCTCCAACTCACTACAATAAGTTCACTGACAGTCTCAACCGAGAGTGACCCCCACCCCTGGTTGCTGAGTGATGCTAGATATCAGAGGTGTGATAGAAGAGACCTGATTTGCCTCCTTGCCGGAAATAATAATCCGTGAATTCATGCTGTATATCGGCTTTTCAAACAAAAAACAAATTATACAAAAATCAACTAGATAACATAAAGAATACTCAAAGTATTTCCTAATCATTGTAACAAAGAGAAACCTGTTAGTGAATGCTTTGTTGAGAAAAAATGATAACATTATCTGAATGAGGTTAAAGTACTAGGATAAAGGTTACACTAATATAGTTGGAGAATGTCACAAGACAAATATTGCCAAGGACAGTTAAGTGGGGTATAAAAAACTGGAGCAAAAAAAAATCAGACCAATGCTTAGATGGGTAAAGAAGAAACTCTGGCAGTCAAGTAATAGCTGTAGTGTGAAAGGAGGTAGGTATATTTTGGAATAGACCTAAAATATTATGAAGACAAACATCTTTCATATGGAAACAAAATAAAGTAAATTTAATGTATTTAGTACACCAGACAGACATCTTTCATGTGGAAACAAAACAAAATAAATTTAATGTACTTAGTACACCAGCAAAAGTGAAATTTTTATCTGACTAAGAATTGATCAAATGTAAAAGAACATTTCTTCCACAATTGAAGTTTGTCCCAGTGGAATAAATAATGTTCAAAGTAGCAATACAGTAAGTCTCATTCACCTCTAGCTCTTTCAACTATACACCCATTTAGACAACTACAAATGAGCCATATAACTAATAGAAGAGTCAGGCTGATTGAAATGCTCAGCAATAAAAAGGTCTTTATGTTGACAGAAGATTTATAGTTGTTGAAATGTTAGTTGTTAGTTTATCCAATTTAATATTTGAGATAAATAGTGGTGTATGTTGTACAAGTTATTTTTAGAAATTTAAATCGATTTTGATTGTTTCTTAATAATATTTAATTCATAAAAATCAAAACATTTATGTGATTATCCTTTGTGCTTATTTGCCTCTGTGTGTGTGTGTGTAATAACATATTCTGATATAAAACTCATGAAAGACATTTGTGTGACAGGTTTAGTATTCATTAAATATGTGGTAATTGTTGAACACAATACATGTAGGTATTAGTGTTTCAATATAGAAGTATAAACTTCTCACTGATGTACACAAAATTTTGTCTTCATATAAATATAACTTTATAACTTATAGAAGCTTAATACTAATGTAAATAACATCAACAAACCATATGAAATATGAAAATTATTCTATATACTGTATGTGTGTATGCTGGCATATGTACAAACACTATACAATTAAATATTCTATATGATATAAGAACTGCACTTTAAGGTTTAGACATTTATTATTTGAACATGCCAAAATTTCCCATATGACGTATTGTGATACTTAAAATAAAAACAAAATTGTTGTCTCTTACCTGTCACTTGAAATAATTTTAATTGTTGATTTTCAGAACTTCCTTCATCAAGAGATTCCTGAAAAAGGAAAACAAAAATTCTGTTGAAAACTCAAACAGACGTTTGCGTATAAAAACTTAAGTGTGAAAAATCAATTCTATAGAATAATTAACTCTTAATTTGTCATTATTTATTACAAAACATTATATTTTTAGAACTGCTCTAATTCTTCACACATATTACAACTTAACACTAGTTTCTTCCTTTACAATTTTAAAAATCTAACAGAAAATTAAAAAAAAATCATTAGAATCTTATATAAGTAGTATTGTCAATGATGATTGATCTGTATCAGCCTATTATAATAGAATCAACATCTTCCATATTTTACAAGCATTATTATTAAATCTACCTCTAGCAAAATCACTCCATGGTCAATTACACACAAATATTATCAACATGTTAGTTGTAGTATCAAACATTTAATTCACTTACCATAAATCTTGAACAAAGAGTGCATTTATAAAGGCTTTATAAAAACATAATGGGTTTCTCTGTAGTATATACGTTACTGATGGAGAACTTTATTCTGACTTTAAAGCAGATTTCAAGAGTATGTAATAAGGATTAATTAAAAGTTATTAAAATTTGTGGGCAATCTGTGGAGCAGCAAATAAAAATATCTTTTACATTAATGATGTAGACAAAATCATTACAAAATGGAATTCCTGCATATAACTTAGAATTAAGACAATGGACAACCTCATACTGATTTCCAGGTTGATTCTCAGTTTCATTCTATGTACAAAGTTTACTCTGATCAGAAGTATCTATCAATTATTTACTACCAAAAACTGTCGTGAAAAGAAAAAATCCCACACTTATCTAACAGTCCATGAGTTCAAAGTAAACAAATGATTGAATATGAGATGGTACATTCTTAGTCATTAGCAATGACCCAATAAAACCCTGGCAATCATGTGATTAATATAAAAAATGGATTGTTGATTTCTATTTCTAAAACAAAACTCTAATATAGTGTCACTTCATCAGAGGATACACAGGTAGTCAAGTGAGGTTTATGCAAGTATGCATGCTTGAATAAAACGTGCATTAACACAATGTACTGGTGAAGAAGTGTGCCTGTTAAGTTTTACGATTGGCAGATCTTGCTTGAAAAACTGTACTGGTCCCTTTTGTGTATATTGTAAGGATAAATGTTGGTCCATCACTATGTTTATTGATTAATTTTGCATGGTGGCCAATCTTCTGTTTGAAAAGTTTACCTATAAATCAGACAGTGTCAATACTACTAAGCCACATCTACCAGAAGGGATTGATTATTTATTTTTTTCAGCTTTGACAACTTTAATTATAAAAGAAGTGGATCTCTGACAAAAAATAAAACTTCTCACATCTGAAAATCTATTTTTACTATGTTTAATGCTATTTTTATGGAAAATAGATAAATCTACATTCTTATATCTTGCTATTAATTATGGCACACAGATAACTCATCTTAATTTTAAAATAACTACTATATCTATTTTAATTTATAAAATATCTACAAACTTCTAGTTTATGAGCATATGGTAAAATACTATTTTTACTGAAGCAGTTTATGTGTAAATATATGACCACATATACCTGGATCTTTACTGATTTTTATTATCTTGTGGCTTAATACATGGAAGTTTTCTATTTTGCCTCTTAACCTTGGACTTTGATGCAACACACTGTTACATTCACCAATATGAAAAACTAGTAGCTATGTTTTTACACTATCTTATTTTATAACACTATGTTTGTATTAAAATGATGAAGAATGACTGTAATATTATGACTGTCAGCTATAATAAATGGCAACATACCATTCATGCCTTCTTAGTTCATACAGGTTTTAAAAACTCAGACATTATGGTAGAGACAATGTATTTATGACTAGGCTATAAGGTTAAATATTCATGTCTCAAATGTACAATATTTGAACACTAAAATGAAGAACAGACACTACAAATTGGAAAGTTATTACTATATTTCATTAACAATTACCATTGGGAAATATTTATCAAGTAGTGAAATGTTATTATAAATATTTATTGTTTAAGACACTTATAAAAGCAGCAAATAACTAACTTATGAAAAAATAAGTATAATATAAAATAACTCATTTATTATTTATTCACCTTAAAATTTTACATTCAAAAACTTTTATCAACTTCAAAAGTATGAACTATAACAGGTAACCCATAGATACTGCTCAAAACAAATAATAAGTAATTGGAACTTTTTATGTTTTCATTATGACAAGGAATATGAATATTTCCCTGATGCAGAGACCAATAGGCCTGCTACAAGCTGATCAAACACAAATCAATGTAGAGTGGTTATCAATTTCACATTTTATGGATAGCAGGATGTATACTAACTTTTAGACTATCAGTACAGTTGGATGGAAACACAGACAGGGTAGACAACTGCTGAAAATTCTAAAACACCGATTTTTTTGAACAATATATTCAATGTAAATAGTGATGGAGGATTAGAATTAAACTTCATAAAAAATCATAAATTTTATAAAATTT